GTAGAATTTGAAGCACTGATGAAGAGTCGATGGAATGACACCATTACTATGTATCCAAGGCCTTCCCAACAACAAATTATAGGACGTCTTTGCATCAATAACGTGGAATAAGGTTTCAGCTTGGAGCTTGCTAATAGTTAGGTTTGCCCGAATCATTTCATTATCTCTCTGTCTTCCTTGGTTAAAACCTTGAATAATAAGACGGCTATGAGATAACTCGTCAACTATGATGCTGAGATTTTTCATCATAAATTTTGGCATGAGATTCACCGTTGATCTACCATCAACAAGCATTCGAGTAACTTTTTGTTCTTTTATGTAACCGGAAATGAAAAGAGGATAATTATACGGCTTTGAACCCAACTGAAGATCCTCGTTAGTGAAAACAATTGGTGCATAACATGAATCAAGCGTACCTCCTACTACTTCATCTTCATCAGACCTTTCAATGATGGCTGCATCCTTTTTATGGTTCTCTATAGTTTGGGCTTCATCTTGATCCTCGCTATTCTCATCATCAGGGCTCGTTTTCTCAGTTGAAACCATATAAGCTGTCACAACTTCGTCATCTAGATATCCTTTTGGAAAGAACTCTTGCAAAGTAATAAGCTTTTGGAGCCCTTTGCTCATAGAGGCGTGTTTGGATGATTGTGTCTTCTTGACCCATTTTCTGTTATGACCTGACTGTTTATGGCAATATTGAGGTTTCTTCTTCCTTTGCCCCCTGTTAGAATAACTAGTCTGAAAAATGTCAGCTCGTTGCTTCCGTGGTTTCTTTCTTGTCACCAGAGTCCATCCTTCTTCATCATCTTGAGGAAAGACCCTTCCAAATGTTGAAATGTCTGGTACACTCCCTTAGGCAAGATAGATGGGGATTGGTTCCAATGAGCCAAACTGGATGGTTGTGCAATATACCTTAGAATTTGAAGGTTAAGAACGAGCACTCCATACGACAGAGGTTATCAAAGTAGTAGTAGTATGATTTGAAGTTACAACTTCGTCTGTGTCCAACAAGATTTTTCCTTGTTTTGCCAGATTCATCACCACCTCCTTGAAGATAAAATACTTCTCAATTAGATGACTGATAATACGATGATATTTGCAGTATTTTGGGTCGTTGACACATCCCATCTCTTGAGGGCGCTTTCTTTTAGGGAGTTCTATAATTTTACTTTCGAGTAAGCATTCCAATATGCCAGGAACATTGGGAAATGGGTATTCCTTCTTCTCTAATTCCTTTAGTGTAGGACGCTGTCTTTCCCTCTCTTGAAACTGGCGAGACTTTTTATCATCTTTCTTGTTATCTTTAACAGATATTTTGACTGGGGTAGTTGAGATAGTCATAGATTCTTTAGCAGTGTTCTTTGATGACTTGTCGCTCTTCTTCCAGTCTTTCTTATCCTTGAGTGGTTCTATAGCCACGAGACCTTTGTTGTCATGGGATTTCATACTGATTTCTGTGTCATAGGCACGCGTAGCCAATTCTTCAAATGTGCAAGGTTTTATACCTTGAAGAATGTAGAGAAGGCCCCAATGCATTCCCTGCATACACATCTCTACAGCAGAGATTTCTGACAATCGATCCTTGTAGTCAAGACTGAGTGCTCACCACCGATTAATGTAGTCAATTACAGGCTCATCCTTTCATTGTTTTATGTTTGTCAATTCTATCATACCAACAGTACGACGAGTACTATAGAACCTGTTCAAGAATTCTCGTTCCATTTGGTCCTAACTATCAATTGATTCTGACTTTAGGTCGGTGTACCACTCTAACGCGTTTCCTTTAAGGGAGCGGACAAATTGTTTAACTAGTAAGTCCCCATCAGTTCCGGCATTGTTGCAAGTCTCAACAAAATGGGCAATGTGTTGCTTGGGGTTGCCTTTTCCGTCAAATTGCTAAATCTTCGGAGGTTGGTATCCTACATGCGTCCTCATACTGTCGATTCTCTTTATATAGGGCTTTGAGTACATGAGAGTACTTAGTGAGACGCCTCCGTATTGGGCTCGGATTGTATTCGTTATCATATCTTGCAATTGTTCGACAGATAATGAAGAGACTGAAGAAGCATGATTGGTTTGACTAGCTACCTGTTCTGTCACTAGCGCTTGGTTTTGACTAGCCGCCTGTTCTGTCACCGTCGTCTATTTGGGGTCCTTCATGTGAGTACCTGGTGTGGTAGAATTAGGATTCTCCGTCGGCATTACTGTGGAAGATGTAGGATTCCCAGACAATGGTGGTGTGAAAGTTGTACGATTCCCAGTTGGCGGTGCTGTGGAAGCTGTATGATGCCTAGATTGTACTGGTGATTCACCGAAGGTCTGAACTTCCAATTTGTTCATCAGTGTAGCGATTTGCAAGTCCTTCTCTTCAACAGTCTTTGTGAGGTTCTTAATGGCACGAGACATAGTTGCTAGATGTTCCTCCATCGTGGCAGCTCCAGTCATCATAGCAGTGACCACATCTGAGTATGATAGGCCTTGAGAGTCAACATTCCTTGAAGTGATTGTTGCTCCGAAGTCTGACGTGGTGACTCTGGGGGTGAACTGACACTAAAATGAGCATCATAGACGAAATGAGGTAAATCTGGTGGCTGAATCTCCTCTGGAACAACGTCAAGGTTCTTGACATGTTGAGTTTGCACGTTCGCCGGCTTTGTAAGATTGGTTTTCACCAAGTCTTGCTGATGTTTGGATGAAGCCATTGTCTGGGACTTGCTACGTGTCACAGGGCCCACCAAGGTATTTCCATCACTTAATTTGGCCTTCGTACCACTTTTCATGGTGTGTTTGGCTTCGACCTTTGCAATAGCGATGTTCTTTTGGGCTTTCTTGTCTGTTAGAGTCTTAGGGGGAGTCATAGAATCTGACAGAAAAGAAACTTGATGGTAGGAGAAAGAGATGAGAGGCAAAGGATGTCCCACTGGGCGTGCTACAAATTTGTATACACAAATTTTGTAAGTCTGCAATAGAAACAAAAATATGGAGCAAAATATAATATTTTATTAATTTATAAAACTTGGGGTTCAATCCTCTGTAATAATCTTTACAAAGAATAGAGTAAGGTTCTCTGATTCGATCTCCTGTTTGGTTGGTTGGATCCAAGGGCTGCACGAGCTTGATCTTGAATCACCGTGGAATTTGATGAAGAACGGCACGTCTTTGGATGTGCTTGTTGTGAATCACCGTGGAATTTGATGAAGAACTGCACGATTTGATGTGCTTGGTATTCTTCGCTTTTGGATTTGGATGTTGGGGATGAGAGTTTTTGTATTTTTCTCTGGAATTCTAGATTTCTGAATTCTGAATTTTGCCCCCTTCTTTCTTCCTCCAGGCTTCAATTTATAGGCTTCTTGAATTAATAAGATGATGACACGTGTCATCTCCTGATAAAGATAAAATTATAATCGGGCCGGGCCGGTTATATTATGATAATTATCCTTAAAAATAATTATTCCAAATATATTTTATTAGGAATAATTATTTTTTTTATTTAACCATCTGGGCTGGGCTAATTATATAATTTAAGTGGACTAAGTTTTGTCCAATTAAATAACTTAATTAAACATTAGGCCCATATTTAATGGGTGCATTTATCAAAACCAAAGTTCACTAAAATTTTACTGTCGACAATTCCGATAGCGGGTCCCACACGGGACCGTCCGGTCTGAAAAATTAAAAAAATGCCGAAATGGCAACCCTTGCATTTCCAAGAGTCATGAACTCAATGAAATGCTCCAAATAACTCTCTGACACACCCGACACACCCCACGATGTCCGGTACGCAAAACGTGAAAGGACAAAAATACCCTTACCAATAACGGAAAAGTCCAAAAATAGAAAATGATGAAAAACGGCAACATTACATTATGTTGCATTCAAAAAGATAAATATATGTGTAATTCAACACTTAAAGATGCTTTACTCAAATGACTTAAAAAATCAAGCTTACTTATAGTAAAATAAGATTGATGTTTTCATAGACATAGATTATTAAGTGAAGAGTGACTTTAAGAAGTGTTTTATAAGCGAAGATAAATTTTATAGAATGAAGTGACCAAGCCTACAGTCGTTAAAAAAATTATATATAAGAATAATTTTGTATTATTATTTATTATATAAAAATTTAAAATCAATTAAAAAAATTAAATATCAAAATAATTTTGTATGTAGAATACTTAGTTTAGGATATTATTGGTATATTTTGATATAAAAAAAATTGTTGTTATGTATTTCTTAAAATAAATTATATATTTTCTTCTCTAATTATATTTCATTTTATTGAATTTCAGTATTTTCTACTACTATATAATTATTATTAGTATATCTTGCCTAATTAACTTTACTTTTATTGAATTAATTTTAATATTATATATTTTTTTCTCTAATTAGATTTCTTTTTACTATATTATTATTATTATTATTTTTATTAGTATTTCACTTCGAAAGCCTCTTTGAGGATATGTTGTATCGTAAGCCCCGCATGAGCAGAACCAAGGTGAGCAAGAGTAGGTGAGTGTAAACAGCTCCCGAATGACAGCACGAGGCCACCTATTCGTGGCAAATTGAAATCAAAATAATAAGATGTTCATATCATAGGCATGTGCTCCAATTCTTGACGGTATAGGCCTCACCCGTCTCCACGTATTGGATATGTTTTCAGTGGTACATTAAAAAAATAAAAATAAAATAAAATAAAATAAATGAAACTTTCAGAAACAAATTCACCTACGGGCCTTTTTCACTTAAAAATAATACATATAATTTTGTAATAAATAAGAGAATATTACTTAAAAATACGAACTATAGAATTTCTGAATTCTAACACATGGTATTTATTAGATTGAATAAGTACATGCGGCCAATAGAATGAATACTAGAAAGATAAAAGTGTACCTAATAAAAAAAAATAGTAATTGTTAACCTAATATTGTTTCTTGGCCCACAGGTTCTGACACGAGATTAAGCTTACAGGCAAAATTAATCAAATGAACGATGAAATGTTGGGTGAAGAGCTGTACAAACGCCTAAAAGGTAATAAATATCTCATTGTTATTGATGATATATGGAATATTTTAGCTTGGGATAATTTGAAAATATATTTCCCAAATGATAACAATGGAAGTAGAATTATGTTCACCAGTCGGATTGTAGATGTTGCTGTGTCTTTGAATGCCAAACCTCACAATTTACGGTTTTTGACCGAAGATGAAAGTTGGGAACTACTGGAACAGAAGGCATTTCAGAAAGAAAGCTGCCCTGCAGAGTTATTGGAAGTGGGGAAGATAATTGCCACAAAATGCCAAGGACTACCACTTGCAATTGTTGTAATATCTAGACTTCTTGCAAAGAAAGAGAAGACACAATACTGGTGGAGGCAAGTTGCTGAATGTGTAAGTTCATATATTGTAAGTGACCCAAAGGAGTACATGAACACGCTGGCATTGAGTTACAACCACTTGCCTCATCACTTGAAACCATGCTTCCTTGATTTTGGCGCATTTCCAGAAGACTATGAAATACCTGTGTGGCATTTGATGTGGTTATGGGTCGCCGAGGGATTCATACAGCAACATGATGAGAAAAGTTTGGAGGAAGTGGCAAAGGATTACTTGATGGATCTAATTGACAGAAGTCTAGTAATTGCTTCCAAGAGAAAGTCCAATGGTAATATCAAAGTGTGTCGTGTTCATGATCTCTTGTGTGATTTATGCCTGAGAAAAGCTCAAGAACTGAATTTCCTTCAATAGTTCTCCGGTATGAACAGACTTCTTCTTCATCTTCTTCAAATCCCTTTGCGTATAAGCAACGTCGCATGTGCATCTATGATAACATTGTTGATTATACTTCTTTAAAGGGTTTTGAGCTTCACATCCGATCTTTCTTATCCTTTAGCCATTCGGTTTATAACTTGCCTGTGAAGGACGTCTCATTTGTTTGTCAAGCCTTCAAACGTCTTAGGGTGCTAAATTTATTGTCCACCAAATACATCAGTTTTTCGAAAGAAATAGAGAAGTTGGTTCACTTGAGGTATTTAGCACTTCATGTTGACCATGAGCATTTTCAACTATCAATGTCGAACCTCTGGAACCTGGAAACCATTATGATAGATGGACCAAAAGGTTCATTGGTTCTGTATGATATTAAGAGAATGGTGAAGTTGAGACATGTGTATACCAGGCGACTTATCGAAATTCTTGATGTACCCCCGGATGGATCTTCATTTGTATTGGATAACCTACAGACCACAGCCAAATTAGATCTTTCGGAAGGCAACACTCGCTTGGGATTGTTTCCCAATCGTAAAAAATTAAAATGCCATGATCGTGGTTTTCCTACATTGCACTTTCTAATTCACCTTGAAACCCTAACGTTATTTAATGATGTCTTGAGATGGAATCTGGATCTGCATATGTCTGTGTTTCCCCCAAATCTCAAAAGCCTCACTTTATCAAACTTTGGTCTACCTTGGGAAAAAATGTCGGTCCTTGGAAGGTTACCCAACCTTGAGGTTCTCAAATTATCAGACAAGGCATTCGAAGGACCAACATGGGACACAAATGATGGGGAGTTTCGCAAACTAAGATTCCTGAAATTTCAAGGCCTATTTATTAAGCGATGGAACACTTGTAATGATCACTTTGTCAACCTTCAAACGTTGGTGTTGAATGACTGTCAGTGGCTTGAGGAGATCCCATCTAGCTTAGGGGATATCCCTACTCTAGAGATGATTCAAGTGAGATGGTGTAACCATTCTGCTGAAGATTCTGCCCGGCAAATTCAAGAAGAACAAAAGATGATGGGAAATGATGGGCTTAAGATCCTTATCTACCCTTTAAATCGGGATTTGGTGGCCTTCGTGGATGAGGATGACTAGGTTGACGAACGTTAGAGTTCATCAAAGCATATAGCAGAATTAGTCACTTGAATAAGGTAATAAAATTTCAGAAGACTCATCAAGTTAATTCTTCTCTTTGTTTTTATTTTCTACTATATGTGAAGATTATATATATATATATACCTGTTGTGTGATTTCATTTCTATTCTTCCTACTAAACTTTCAAGACAAGAAGAAGCCCTTGGTGCAAAATGTTTTTGCAGCATGGGTTATTTAGTATACATGTCATTGTGAATTGCTATGGAGAAGTGATTAGTCTTCCAACACCTAATTAGACTTTGAGCGTTTAGAAACAACTCCCACTTCTTGTTCGATTTAATAATCAAAATAAGAAGAATTAAAAAAATAATAATATTGCTGCAAATTTAGATGTTTTTTTTTCCACATGCAAATTTAGGTCTCTCCTCGTATATTTGTTCTCCATATCATTGTTTAGTTGACTTTTCTGATTGTAGTCATAACTAACTTCATTTGTTTTTTTATTTATTAGAAAGTCTAATTAACTCCATTTATCATAATGCTTGTGAGGGTGTATTAAACACCTTAACATGTTAGGACCAGCAACAATGCATTCAGAACAAACATCTTTAAGACATCTGGTTATTGTATATTTCATATATTTGTCAATCTTATTTTTATGTGTTATTGGATCATAAACAGGACTCAAATGGAGGCGAGTTTACAACATAAAGAGTACGATGTTAAGGTGCATTTCAAAGTCTTTCTCAGACCTGAATGATGATGAATGTTCTTTTGATAAGCAAACATTAACTGATTTTTTTAAAAAAAAATTTCCTTCTTGTGTGTGTGTAATAGCTTCTTTTGAGAAATTTGATGTGCTAAATTGCCTCTTTTGATTGAAGTTAAATATTTGTGTGTGTGTGTATGTAATGCTCTTAATTGATGTGATAGAGGCTTAACAATTGAATTAGCAGAATCCATCTAACATATCATTGGTAGGTGTAAAAATTGACTGAAAAGACTCCATTGAAAACAAAAACAGAGGACCCAAACTGATGATTCAAATAGATATGAAGTGATCTTTAGTTTCGTTCCAAATAGTCTGCTTCTAACAATTGGCATAAAATAGAGCATTTCAGGATTTTAATGAATAACCTATAGAGATACATAGAATGATTGGAGGGTAAATATGCTGCGTTCTTAAGTGCACATTATAATTTTTAGTTGCTGGTGATGATATGACTATGATATTATTTGGTGGGATTCACTCCCCGCTCACATAACTTCTATTAGCCATCTTCCGAATTCGAAAGATGTGTCACTACTCCTATTTTATATTTGCTAAGCATTTGTAATTGAGATTTAAATTTACTATGCCTAGAAAATCATTTTTGACTAACTAGCAAATTGTTTGTCATGTCTTAGCAACATGGTAATGTTGTTGGAAGATGCTCTCTCTAATTCTTATAAATTCTTATGGGATGAAAGTAGAAAGAGGAGGGTACGACTTGTGATTGAAATCTTCTTTGCAGATTTTTGCAAATTTGGAATTGATTAAGTCCTTTAATCAAGCACTAGGTTTGTGTGATGTTTCTGTTTTTCGCCATTTTCCATTTTTTCGGAATTTTTCGAATTTTTTTTCTTCGAGGGTATTTCGTCTTTTCTCATTTTGTGTACCGGACTCCGTGAGGTGTGCCGGGTGTGTCCGAGAGTTAGTTGGAGCATTTCTTTAAGTACAAGATTTTTAGAAATGCAATGGTTACCATTTCAGCATTTTTCTGTTTTTCGGGCTGGGAAGTCCTGGGTGGGACCCGCTACTGGAATTGTGTTGTACGGGAGTTGTGTCGTGGGTCCGTTGCATTTCATGCATAATTATTTTGTGCATATTTATATAGTTGTGTGTTATTTTTATGTGGATGTAATTTAATTGGTTAATGTATACATATATACGTATTAAATGAAAAAATGTAGAATTTTTTTTAAGTGGTGGGACCCACCACTTTATTCATTAGTGGCCAAGAGGACACATTTGGCCTCATCCCCCCCCACCAATTTTTTTTTTTTTTCTTTTTTCACAATCTTTAAACTTCAATTACTCTCTCAATTTTAAGAATTTATTGGTGCCGTTTGCGGCAAATCTGAGAACTCGTTGTGATCTATACGTTGATAGGAGTAATTCACCATTTGGCCAACCCTAGGAATTTCGCATTTTGGGCTCATTTTGGGGGTTTTTTGCATCAAGTGAAGGTAGGGGTTCCTAATCTACAATTTCTTGTACTTTTCTGAATTTTTCTTCATGATTTGTCACCTAGCATGCTAAATTTATGTTGATTTCTCCTATAATGACCTAATTGTTGTAAATGAAGGATGTGATAATGTGTATTAATTGATATTATGTAAATTAGCATGCTTATGTGGTTGTATTCCTTGTCTATGATGTTTAAATTGCCAAATTTCATAATATGAAAGCATGATATTTCTCATGGGATTTCTTGTAAAAATATGCTATGTAAATTGAGCTAGAATTAGATGTATGATAATGGACATTGGACATGATGAGTCATTCATGCATAACATTGGGCATGAAAATGGAAAATGTGATTTGAAAAGGAAAGAAAATGGGTTTTAGGGAAAAAGGTTTTGAAAGGTTTGCGAAAACCCGGTCACCTAGGAATTGCTTATAGGTCCGCGGCGTTAATGGAACCTAGAAGGAACTAAGGAGACTGCCCTAGCGTGGTTGAGTTACTTGGGCCCCAAATGACGCCCTAGAGTTGCCTTGTGGTTAGGGATAGTTAGCCAACCCTTCTCTCGCGCTGCCATGGATTTGCCATGGGACGGGTTAAACGGTTTAGAAATGATGGCGAAAAAGGTTTTGGAAATGGGGAGCGACATTGCATGACATTGCATTCCATAACATGGTATGATTCGTTTATGACTTGGATTATTGTTGTTGTTATTGTGGTTATATTTTTTCCCAGAAATTGCATGATCCCGATTTCCTTTTTCCTATTCCTTGTTTGGATTCACGGAGTCACAAGAGGTGTGTCTTAGGCGCCTCCTACTAAGTTTTATGCTCACCCCTTTATTATTAACATTTTTTCAGGTCTCGAAAGAGAAGTGGCGGATGATGTTCCACCATAGGCTTAGACGGGATTTAGAAGATATATTTTGTCACCCTTTGTAACTGAGTCTCATTTTATATAACTTTGTATATTCTGTGATTGTAATTGAAACTATGTTATTTTGTAGTAACTTGAATTATTTTGGTAAGGATCCTTAAGGCATGTAACGAACTTATGTTTATACATTGAGAATTTGAAACGAAAAATAACTTATAAAAACATTTCAATGTGATGGGACTCATTTTGACTTAAATTGGTGTATCAAACACACTTGTGGTCTAATTCAATATATGTATGTCTATTCATGTTTTACACTGTTAGATACATGATTTGGGATAAGTTTGGGCTTGGAACAGGGTCACCAAGGGACCAAATGGGTGCCTATATGCACAAGTTCTCAATTTTAGACTTTTCTAGGCATTTTTCAGGGTTTTGGTCTTCTCAAACCGGTTCAATATTCATGGAACCGGTTGAAGGGTGTAATTGGTTCATGTTTGGGTATTCTACCCATGTGGAACCGGTACCAAGATTTGGGAACCGGTTCAAGTCCTCTAGTGGACTTTTTGCCCTTCACAGTTTTGTCAGCTTGGATCACCTAACTTCGTTTGGTCATAACTTCTTCGTTCTAAACCCAAATAGGGTCATTCTTGAGTCCATTTTCAAGGATTTTGAGTTAGCTTTCCAATTAGATGAATTTCAAATTTCATTCATGTTAAGAGTTATGGTTATTTTAGTGGATCAGTGTCAGAATTTCTCTTGAACCGAGTAAGGGCGCTTTTGAGAAATCATATCTAATGACCGTAGAACCTCTTCAAACATCATGGAATGACTAGAATAATTGTTTTAAATTTCATTTGACTAGTTTAAAAATAGATTATCCTCTCATAATGTAAAATGACTATTTTTCCTCTAGTGTGTCTTCGGATTTGGTTAAGGACCCGGTTAGCGATTCGGACCCCCTGTTCGGGTCATTACAGTTTGGTCACTTAAGAGTGATTAGATGATTAACAATGCTAGTGATTCAGGGTCCAATAAGGTCTAGGTTTTTTTTTTTTTTTCCTTTCATAAATGAGTTAATTTCATTGGAGAAGATAATCATTCCGTACATCAAAGATACAAGGGGGCATACCCACACAAACACTATACAATTTTTTTATTTTCTCTGTTATATCTAGTTTATGTATCTGTTGAGAGCAGAAGAGAGTTGAAAAGTCCATAAAAAACAATAATCGAACAAGAGCAAACGGAGAAGTCATGAGAAATGTCAGGTGCCATTACAGTTTGGAAAATGATTAATTTTAAGGTAGATTAGTTAAGATTTGCTTAACGTATAAGTTTTAATTTGTTATTTATGTAAAATATAAGGGACCAGGATCACCTCCAATCCCACAGTAGCCCATTTTCTTCTTTTTGTGTTAATGAACAGTAATTACTAAGGTGGGTAAAATGTTTATTTGTTTTATACACAATTTTCATATATTTATATATGTATACACTGTTCACAAATACTATTTCTTTTTCACTCCCTTATTTTCAGCAACCCAAATCCCACCATTTTCTTCTCTCCCAAAATATTGATTTTGATTTCTTTCCAAAATCCCGCCATTTCAACAACCCAAATTTTGATTTCTTTCCAAAATATTGTTTCTTTCCAAAATATTTTAGCAACCCAAATTTTGCAGTTTGCATGGAGATTTGGAACGTGAGAAGGACTATTGATGATATTTCAATCAACCCAAATCCTGCCTTGTTTAGATTTGCCCAAAGGTTTCAGAGATAGAAAGTTAGAGAGAGAAAGAGATTGTTTATTTATTTATTTTCTTTTTCTTCTTCTTCTTTCAAATCTCGATAATTCTCTTTGATTTGTTTCCAAAACAAATCACACATCTATTCCAC